TATTAATTTTCTCTAACACCGTTAGTTGCCAGAAAGAAATAGCAACAAGACCGTCATTTGTGTACTGTCCTTAATATTGTATTATTCTTTCTAATATGTCCAAGTTTTTGCACATTAAAGAATATCTTTATTAGATATTATTATTTCTCCAATTCTAAATTACAGTGTAAACACACAGCTTTGATAATCTGGTACAATCTTCAATTACTGAAAAGCCATTTACATGGATGAAGTCGCGATAAAACAACTGGTAACGTATAAATTTGTACGAAATCCAACTCTCACTTATCCGATTATTATTTATTACATAAACTCAAAAACTACTGAAACGATTACAAAATTCTCTCACCAATGTTATAATAATTATATATTATAACTTCATTTAATTGCTTAGATTGCAAATGAAGTAGTTAGAGCTTGAAATCTGAAACAACGAAGGTATCACAACACCTATACCAGGCAATATAGAAAAAAGCCATTTCCAAAATCCCGACTGGGATCAAAGCTCGGGACTTTAGAAATGATGTCACCTTGAAAACTGACGTAAGATCCAATCAGGTCATTAATAAAAAACATACAAAAACGTTATTACCAAGCAACATAGGCCTTACTTTATTTGGAACAGAAGCACCTAGTACCCGAGGTCTGCTAGTTATAGAATAGACGGTATTCAATGCACGTATTAGCCGGGGTATGATGCGGAGATCATAGGAACGGACCGCAATCTCCGCCGCGGACCCCTGAATACTAACACGAGATAAAACCTTTGTCATACAAATACAACCCGTTCAATTATTGTTCATATTGATAACAACAGTTTTCTGTCAGACTCTGTTAAATTATGTATATTAAAGAACGTCTATTAAATAAGGCAAAAGGTACCTAGCTGACTCGTATTAAACATGAGACAAATTGTATGTACGCGCATAACTTCCAGACGACTGCACCAAATAGAATGATTCCTTTTTTTAGTGTTCGATATTGGTAGGACAAGAAATAATATAAAGCATGTATGAAGGTACTGGTAGTTATATTCATAATGAATGAAATAAATAATTGCTATTATATGTAGTTATATTAATAATAATAATATTTACAAAAAATATTACAAACTTATCATTCCCCTTGCTAAAGCTATCCTGATAGAAAATTTGAAAAGGTTTGATACTAAAATGTTGTCGAGTTCTCTCTACTAAATTAAGTATTTTTGGAAAATAAATAAAGTACAAAAAAATAGCTTCAACACGAAAAACATTCCCGTCAACCGCCTTTGTAATGGTCGTAAGTACCATTATGTTAGTCCGTTAATAATATTGTAAGCTCAAAGATACTGTAGTCATCATATTTTATTAGCCGGTTCAGCAGCAAAGTGTGAGTTGTTAATATTTGACCGGATACACTAAAAATGACCTTTCAATTGGTTTTGTACTAAAAAGTAATACTCAAATAAAGCTGTTGTTAAATATGAGATAACACCATATTTCTTAAGATTTTTTTCACAGTTAAAACGTGAATTTACAAATGTCTGGCGATAAAAAAAAACGAAAATATCTCTTTTGTAAGAAAAACCAGGTTTTCCCCAGCGGATTCGCCCTCTTAACTTACGAAGTGATATGTTACTTTGTAGCCGTGGGCAATATGCTACACTTAAACAATAACCATAAAGGTTTGTGAGTAATCAATCAAAAATTAATTTTAACGTGCCATTTAGCATCCTCTGTCCCTATCTATCTAATCGCCGGGCGCAATGAGTAAGACAAAGAGAGCATTTCAGCCAATTTTATGATGGCACACTTTTGAGCGGTTCCCATCTTCCAATTTCACAATTCGGTTCTCTTTCGCACAAACTTTTCTATACAACTTCGGGTAAGTATGAAACATTAACAGACTGTCCTACTTATTTCTTATAAAAGCTCTTGTTTATGTTTGTATCAGAGCAAATCGCTTAACGAAAATCTCGTTGGATAAGAGAATTAAAAGAATTTGTAAACAAAATAAGATGAAATGTCATGATTCAGTTATTTTGTAGTATCAATAGATGGCACAAAATAGAGAAATCACAGTAATATTTTTTGAGCGCTAACTCAATATAATTATAATATCCACAAAATTTTATAGTGATGTCTTTTCTCGATCAAAATAATACAATTATTACATCCAAATATAGTTCGACAATACGGGTGTAGACAGTCTACGAAAATAAATACATTTTTTTTTTCTGGAAGTGTTTAATATAACATTTTTATGCTTATTATATTTATAATATTACTTAAATTAATTGTTAAGAAACAAATTTTTTACGCTCTTTGTCACGTGACCGGATACAGCGCGTGATGTCATGCTCTTCTTATATCAGAACTTAGAGAATTCACCCTAATGCAAGAACGATATTCGTTTTAGAGTGTCGAGACCTCATAGCGATGCCATGAGAGTAGTGGCTTTTTCGCGAGGAATTATGAAAACTAAATTTATTTTCAGATTTCAATTTAGTATATGAATAATAATATTTTAGATGTATTTCATCTATATCTATAAAATAAAAATATAAAAGAGTTGTCTACACTTCTATTTAAGATGTGGGAATAAATTACAACCCATACATGGGGTTTTCCCAACACTCTTAAAAAGATCACAAATCTGCCCGATCCATAAGACTGGGGATAAATTAAGTGTAAATAATTATAGACCTATATCAATATTACCTACATTCTCCAAGCTTCTGGAAAAAATTATCAATAGCCGGTTGTTGAATTACCTTGAACGAAACAATCTTCTATCAAACTTTCAATTTGGCTTTAGACACAGTCGTTCGACAAATGATGCTGTTCATTTTCTTAACGAGGTAATATCCTCCAATCTAGATAAAGGTAATAAATGTATCACAGTTTTTTTAGATTTGGCAAAAGCCTTTGATACTGTCTCAATTCCCAATCTCATAAAAAAACTTGAGTTATACGGTATCAGAGGAACGCAGCTGGAACTGTTCAAAGATTATTTGGGAGATAGGCATCAGTTTGTAAAAGTGGGTGAATTCTGTAGTGATGACCTTCCTGTTTCTCATGGTGTGCCACAAGGTAGTGTGTTAGGGCCAACTCTGTTCTTGATTTATATCAATGATCTCTTACTGTTGAATTCTTCACAAAGAAGAATTATATCATATGCAGATGATACTGCTCTTATTTTTATAGGAAAGACATGGGAGGAAACGTACGAACTTGCACAAACTGGTTTTAATAAAACTTGTGAATGGCTTCAACAGAATGTGCTTACATTAAATGCAGATAAAACAAAATATATTGCGTTTGCAATCCAAAGTCCGAAAATTAATAAAAGTCTACAGTTGATTGCTCACACATGCAATGGAAATCATAAATGCTTATGTCGAGTGCTTCATAGGGTTAACGAAATAAAATATCTCGGTGTTGTGATAGATGAAAATTTGAATTATAGAAGTCATATTGAACTACTCACTTCCAGAATAAGGAAATTATTTCACGTTTTTAAAACCTTACGGCGTATTCTAGATCAAATTAATTTAAAACGCGTGTATTTCGCTCTTTGTCAGGCATTGATTGTTTATTGTATTTCGTCGTGGGGAGGTGCAGCTAAAACAATAATTAAAAAAGCTGAAATTGCCCAGAGAGCTTTACTTAAGATTTGCACTTTTAGACCCTTCTACTTCTCAACCTCTCTGCTTTACAAACATTGTGAGGTTCTAACAGTACGACAACTTTTTTTGCTTTCCATTGTAATGAAACAACACAGCACTCTCGAATATTGCCCTCAAAAAGTCAAACGAAGAAGGCACTATAATGTTTGCGATCGGGTTATCAGTCCTAAGACTGAGTTTTTGAAAAGATTTTATCTTTTTTTGGGTCCGTACATTTATAACAAAATTAACAAAATACTTAACATTTATAGCCTTAATAGGTTTGATTGTAAAATTAAAGTTTCAAATTGGTTGTTGGAACAAACATACGAGGATACTGAATTAGTAATTAAAACTGTTGGGTGATATGTCATAGTATATAATCTTGGATTTTGTTTCAGATTTCTGAGTCTAGTTTTCATTGCGAATGTCCTCATTCTCCTCAACCCACATTAAATAAATTTATCTTATTTTAATTAATTAATTTATTTATTTATCTACACAATTTAATATGTTACCAATTTTAATATAACTTACAAATACACCCTCTCGACCCTCATACATGCATTTCTCACATTACACACAGAGAGGACTTCTTTCCTTTTCTATATTTTAGTTTGTTTTATTTTCAATATTGCTTTAAATGATTGGTTTGTTACACAGAAGTTTATTGTTGCTCAAATGCTATATTTAAATAAAACATAACAAAGATGTAATGTAATACATTGATTAATGTCCGAGGTTGGAGGCGCCATTTACCGATGTTTCAGGTCTACAACCTAGTTCGGTGATGGATGCTACCTATAAGCAAGGTGTATTCTAAATAACAACTATATAAATATATTTTTAATAAGCTTTGTATGTAACTCCGATAATTTATGATAACCAATATTAATGATACATTTTATTTATTTCAATATTTATTATCATTCAAGGGGTCATCATTATTTTAGTGACTTAAATCATTTTTAAAAATGTATCGATTCATTGACTATATTTATATTAAATAAAGAAAAAAAAATCACAGACAAATTTAAACTTACATACAGATTGAGAACTAGTGGCAGATTCACTCACGCTTGGCCAAATATGTAAGAAGCTTAACGATTTTATTGAATTAAAGACTTAACAAGCACGCACTATTTCGACCCATATAAAAGTGTTCAGCGCTATCAAATCTTTCACAAGTGAGAAGCGACTGTTATGTCGAACTACTCACTTCGTCAATAAGTGATTTCAACATATTTTTACATAAAATAAATAAAATAAGTCAACTAATGACAAAATAGTGTTCATAACCTCCAAAACCAAATAGACAGCAGGACGCCATTTTGCAACAGCAACGCACAAAATGGCGGAAAATTACACGGACTTCTTGATCGGCCCCGTGGCGCACCCTTTGAAAATGTACGTATATTTAGTGCCTACTTATGCAAATTTAAAAATTTATCTGCGCCTTTAAATAAATTCAATGGTTGCCTCTCCTCTCGACTTGCTCAAAGAATAACAAGTTAAACTTTTTAATACGTTTTTATTTTTATGTTGTTGCGCTCGCTCGCTTAAAAGTTTTTCCAAGTTGGCTCATTTAATCACCGTAGACTAATTTTATGTGCGATGTATAAAATACAGTTTCTGTTTTATTTTCCTTAAACGATTTTATTGATAGTTATTATTATTATACTTTAAGCAGTTTTCCTTAATTATATATACATACCTATTTTGATATAATTAAGGCATCACTAAATCAAGGACCAAGTAAATACAGAAAAGTTAAATTTTAACCGACCTGGAATCGATCCGGGGATCTAATGATAGAGAAACCTATAATCAAAAGATTGTGATAATTCACCACGCCACCCAGTTACCCATTCCACTTGCTCCTCTACAAAAATCTTAGCATTGATGGATTTTTTTAACTAAGAATATTCTCGTATATTGGTTAAAAATGTCTGCTTAAGCTATGCCACTTTCGCAAGTAATTAATTCACTCGACTATAGATACGAGTGACAGTGTCATAGCCTACCTTTCACATCCAGCACAGCTGGCATTCTAAAACTAAGTAATGTACCTTATTAATTCTACTGCACACCACCGGTACATAACTAATATCAACGAGTTCCCAGGGTGTCCCACGAGGTTGTGGACCACATGCTAGGCTGGAACATACCCGAGGAGCATCAAGACCTGGTCCACGAGCACTGGCGTAACTTCCCAGCTGTCAGTAAATACTGGCATTACTGTCTAGCACTCATTTACACAATGCTTATGGTCACTTCACTGACGGGAAATGGCATCGTCATCTGGATCTTTGGCACGTAAGTATAAAAAAAGCATTTTATTAATTTTACAGCTACCTATATTAGGCGACCCTTTTTTACAATTTATTAGCCCCTCTCATTCTGTGTCCACTCGTACCCCGTCACATGCCAAGAAATATAATGGACTATTCGAATAAGGTTTTAATGTATTCAATCAGAATATAATTATATTTTTTTATATTAAAAAAAATAATAGCGACAATTCATTCACATATCAAAAATCTTTATTGCTTCATAAAAACGGAATACAGTATAATAAAATATAAGTTCAAAACAACTGAAACAGCAATAAATATTAAAACATATTGTACCATTGTGTTTTGATTACTTTTACATATATCAATAACATTTATCTACAGTAGTGAAAGATAATTTGACAATTTTTTTCATTACGGTATAAAATTAAATCATATTCAAGCTATCACAATTTTAATAGTATGTATGGTTCCATATAATTTACTCTGTGGCCTATTATGTCAGTATTAATGGACTGATATTCCATGATAATAAATTTCTTAAATTAGATAATTGATAGTGATGGCGCATCTTATAAACCTATACATATTTAATCAATTATCATCAATCATTATAAAACAATTTTATAAATATTTTTAATGAAAAATGCTTTAGAAATCCACTTTGTCCCTGGTATTCTGAGATGGGACTCGAACCCATGAACTTTCGCAATCCGGGCGACTGCTCTAACCACTGAGCTACCCAGGACCTAACGGAACTGAGGAATTTTTCAAGCACTTGTTACTTTCTCTCTACTACAGAGCGAAGATTAAAATGCTTTTTTTATTAATCACATTTTCAGAGTAGCATTGCGAATGCAAAATTGTTCAAATATAATAATTTAAATTTAGCTATCATGCATCGTCATCATACTAAATTTGAATACAAATTTACAGTGCACTGCAAATTAAATAATTGATTGTCAATAATTGTGTTTTTTTTTTCTTGACTATCATAATAAAAACTTCAGCAACTTCACTGTATGGAAGACTTTTTCATAGCCCGGTTGATAATGTTGACCATTATCAACATAGATAGTCAATCAAGCTCTAACAACAACCCTTTCCGTAACCACTGTAATTCCAATGCAGTTCAGTAAGCGACAGGGTTGTCAACTGTCCTGTATTATTATAATAGGTGGACTGGATATTGTGCCTACCGACTGTTGTACCGTCTTCAGGGGCTCTATTTTTGAATCATTCGTCTCGCGTCGAGCGCTCGTTTTCTACTGATTTTCATTCGACTTAACAAATTCGCCATTTCTAAATCGCTCGATTGCAACGAATGGTATGAACCACTCGTCGCTTAGCGAACGTTGTATGCGAGTGATAGTAGAAAACGAGCGCTCGACGCGAGACGAATGATTCAAAAATAGAGCCCCAGGTTGTGATGGATGTAAGAGTGACAAATATATGAAATAGATTAATTTTGTCGCATTTGCCTTTTAATACTTAGGATGGAATTGGTGGGTGAAATCCGAAGCTGTAAGTACCTACTTTATTTAATTTTATAAATAATGAAAACTAGTCAAAACTAGAAGATATAAAGTCAGAAATTTATATGGTGTTTTATTAAAAAAGGCGGGTATGAAAACGAAATGATTTCTAAATGTTTGTCAGATGACAGAAGTACTGGTTCGTCAAATCATTGTAATAACCACAGAAATAAATCTAGTGTATTAACTAAATTATTACAAGTATAAAATCGCGAACTGTCATCCCTTAGAAACATCAAACTAAGCAAGCACTCACAGATGTCACACAGACATAACATGCGATTAATAAGTTACAGACTATTACATTGTACTATTTTTTTAATAAAGCGTCATCTATATTCTGTGTTAAAAACTTAAAACCACATGTTCAATAACATAAGAAAATCTAAATCTAGAATAGGACTCTCAAACCGCCAATAGTTCTAACTCAGTTTCATAGTTTAGACTCAATTATAATTACTCAACAAAGTGATAATCACGTCTCAAAATTAAAAAAGATTTAGGATAAATATATATAAGCTATTGTAAATACTCGGGTATGAATCACTAATATATAAAAGCCGACCATGAATCCTTAAGCAGATTTGATAGATGTACAATATTACTTTAATTTTAGCTAAAATAATTATAAAGTTGCCATGTACCTATTAGAATTTAAATAATATGGATTTTCCAAAAAATATTTATGTTCCTGTCAATCCTAGTGAACGTGCCGGACTAATAACGTGGAATGATTTGACGATCGACTAGAGTGTTTTTGACTGGTCGCTGTTGCGGTTATTTAATTAAGTTTCAAAAGCACAAAGACTGGATAGAATTCCTGAGGATATATATTTCTGATATCTTGTTATTAATTTTACACAGTATATATAATAGGTTGGGGAAAAAATGTCTTCGCAATTCAAAATATTCTTTAATAAAGTTTATTTACATTTAACTAAAATATGTAGGTGGTCAAGTGCTTGCCTATCTAGAATAAAAAAAAGGTACCATTTTGTTCGATAACTTTTTGCCATCTTGTAGTAGCATGATCCCTTTGCTATAGAAATTTTGGTGGTTCTGATCAAAAAACCGCGGCAAGTGGTTTTGGCAGTCCTCACGGCAACCTGACACTGACTAAAGAATTCTTAGTCAGAACTATACTGCGGCTGCATTAACACCTTCCAGCCAAACTCTTAATTTTGCTGAGTAGCAAAAGGTGTGTGTGGTCCACACACCTTTTGCTCAGAACCATAACCCTACTATTGGTTCATTTTGGCCGCTTTCTCTCAATTTCTTGCTTTAATCTTATCAGTTGTTCGCAGTAAAGTTCAGAATCGATGGTTCTGCCTGTCGGTAACAGCTCATAATGAATATTGCCTTTCCAATCCCACTATACACCGAGCATTACCTTGTTTCGAGTTAACCCGGGTTTCGGCACAGTCTGTGAAGCCTGTCATACGTGATTCACTTTTCATAAATAATTATTCATTCATTTTATTATTAATAGGGCGACCGGAGTGACATGCATCTTTGACATCAAAATTTCCGGACTGAAAACGATTAAACCAAATTTGTGCTATCGTCACAGAAATTGCACTAGGTCCATAAACGTCACAAATTGTTTTCGCGGCTTACGTTGCATTTTTACCTTTTTTGTAATTAAATTTTATAATTTATCGAATTTCATCATTAGATTCGTTAATTTTGACAGTAAGAATAACAAATGAAAATGACATGTTTTCCTAATTTGAAATCGGAGTTATTTATCTTCTTTGAAATTTAAACTTTCTAATTATACCGAAACCAGCCAGACACAAATGGTCTAGCCAGAAAGATTTTATCACAAGTTTATGCATACTATATGCGAAAAAACTTTTTCCCCAACCTAATAATAAACTAGCTTTTTCCCAGCGGCATCGCCCGCGTGGTGCCTAGGGAATGTTTATTTGGATATCGATTCATATCTTGGCACGGATATAATTACAATGGTAAATTGAATAGTAATAATGGTTACCATAGTAACGTTTTAATTACCTATACAAAATTCCACTACCAATTTTATCTTTTTACTTGCTGTTTTTCGAAATAAAATATGATCTATGTTCATCGCATATAATGTAGCTTCCGGTAAGTCAAGGATTTTTTTAAATCAGTCCAGTAGTTACGGAGCTTATTCGTAGCAAACAAACAAACATACAATCAAATGTTTCCTCTTTATAATATTAGTATAGAAATATAGATCAGTATTCGGTACCTCATAAAGTATAAAAAAACGGGCTTATTGCACTATACTACAATTATAGCTAAATCAGCCCCTGATTAGATTGAACCTCTTGTTTTCACAATTTTGGCTGAAATTCTGATATTTCCACCTAACGGAAACATTCCCAGTGTTATAGAATATTATATTTTGTACGGAAATCCTATTTATCTGTCCCACTTTACGGGAATTGTGCCAGTGAGCGCGGCTCTACAATCGTATGGATGCAATGTGAAATCAAATAATTCTTTATTCAAATAAACAAAGTACTCTATACTTGTTCCATCTAAAACACCTGCCATAAAAATCGGATTTAAGATTACATTCTAAAGTAAACTATACTCCGATCGCCGAACAAAGAAACCATACTGCTATTGCTCTCACATAGATGCATCTAAATAATCTTGTCATAGTAAAGTAAACTTACAATGTTTGAGATATCTAGCAGTGGGCAAAAGTCAACCTACGATATTCTCTCTTATTGGCGACTGAACTATAAAATCGATAATTACCATAAAAATGCATATTTTAAACAATGTGAGAAAAGTCAAATACGCGAAGTACTAAACATCCAGTAGACAGTTTTTTTTTTCTTGATACCTCAACTATATAACGCCCATTGGTCGACAAAGACCGCCCCAAAAATCATCCAACGCTTTCTAGCGATCCTGACCAGAACGTCGGTCCATCTCGTGGGTGGCCTGCCTACATTCCCATTTCCGGTTCATGGTCGCCAATAGAACTTCCTTGCCCCAACGGTCATCTGTCCTACGAGCTATGTGCTCTGCCCATTGCCGACCATCTCTCACAATTTCTACGGGCTATATCGGTCACTTTGGTTTGTCAACGAATCTCCTGATTTATGATTCGATCTCGCAGCGAAACTGCAAGTAAAGTTAGCAAGAAGTTAGAGTAAGTTTCGGATTTTCTTAAACAGAAGACTACTTAATTTGAAATCTGAAATCAATTCATTCGATAATCTTACTAATATTTTTTTGCTTGGCGAAAGTCGTAGCAGAGATACTACCTAGAGATATATAGTAATTTACAGGTACAAATGTAATAAATATTACGAAACGTATTATACAGACATTGATAGCTATACGTTGTAATTGCAACAATTTATGTGCACTAGTGTGATATCTTACTGCTTTTTTAACATAAATGAAATCCTAGTATATAACTCAGTTACGGCAAAAAATGTAAAACGTATAAAAACAATGTTTAATTCAAAAATAATAAAAAAAACGTATTTATTTCAGGTCAAAATCCCTCCGTAGCGCCAGCAACATGTTCGTCATAAACCTTGCCGTGTTCGACCTAATGATGATGCTGGAAATGCCTCTCCTCATAATCAACTCCTTTTATCAGCGGCTGGTCGGTTATCAGCTCGGTTGCGACATATACGCCATCCTCGGATCGTTATCGGGCATCGGGGGTGCCATCACTAATGCTGTCATCGCTTTCGACAGATACAAGTGTGTAATAACTTTGGAATTATTATCACATCCACTACCATCACCATCAATATCATATGCATAATGAATTAGATAAGGGGGTCTTAACGATTATAAGTACAGTTGGGCTTAACGAGCCTTTTTTAATCAATTGAAGAGGAATTAACACTTCATCGACCTGCAAGTAATTCTGCTAATGTTTACATAAGAATAGAATCTCAACAACTTGCATTTTGCCAATGTAGAGTCAACAAAATTTATGTCTACCCTGTCTTAGGCGATATTTGCTTGAATTTATAAAGTACCACCCATGGCTAGCCCCTGCTTGCAATGGCCAATAGCGTCTTCATTAGGCGGGGTTGTCATGAAATACAATACAAAGTCAAAAAATGAACAGGGTTTATGAACGTCTCTGTGTCCATATTTGCCTTGTAGACCACAATGATTGTAATTGTCAAGTAAAAATAAAAAAATACAACTAAATTATGTGTATTTTTAATGGGTGGGTGTGTGGTACAGTGAATTTCAAATATAAAGTTATGGTAAGAAGAAAAATAAGTAAGCATTCTATTAGCCAAGTATTGAAATATTTGACTTATTCTAAGCAAATTTTATTGATTATTTTGAATCTGGTCATTGCAATATTAAGAATGCATTAAAATTACTCAAAATATATTCAGTAATAATTAAATTATACAAACTTAACTGACTAATATTTTTAAAGATCCAGAATTTAAAAAATCACCATGTGCCTGCTTTTGCAATTTCAAAAGTAACGAGAGTTGGTATCTACTATCTATCTACCTGAAGTTCAATATTAATATATATCTATCACCATTCATTTATGAAGAAAACATATTACTAATAATACTAGACTTCAGGCATGTAAGTAGTACAAAGTTAAATTGCAAGTAATTGAGACTCTATTAAGATGCGATTATAACGTAAATTTGTAAACGATAAAAGAATTGGCCTGCTGTCGAGAGACCGACTATATGACAAAAAGAAAATAATGAACATTATTTTTCTGAAAGCTATTCGAACTTTTTCTATTTTTTTATGGGTTTTCTTAGGTAGGTAAGGTATCTTTGCAAATTAAAAAGAATTCGGGCTAAAATTAATGAAGATACCATCGAACTATAAAACATCTGACACAAATTACTTGTTACCTTGTATCACCGATAAATACCCTCCATTTTTTTTTCAGAACTATTTCTTGCCCATTAGACGGCAGAATAAACAAGGTCCAGGCGTCCCTACTGATAGCATTTACGTGGTTCTGGGCACTTCCATTCACCATATTACCAGCTGCAAAGGTCTGGGGAAAATTTGTACCAGGTAAATTACTCTACATGTTGCTCTCGTTTACTTATATTAAAAATGTGTTGGATCGAATATATCGTGAACGGCTGGAACAATTCGATTAAATTCTTATGTATTATTCGTGGAAGTCTGACGAAGGTTCTTATAGAGAGAAAATAATTGTGATACGAAGTTAACCTCGTCAGCTAGTAGTTATAAACAAAAACTCATCGAATCACTTTATTTACCACTTATAAATTATGAAAGGCTGGACCGCTTTTCATGATAGTTTTGCCTGGAATAATAGTTTTTTTTTACTAAACAACATCACAAATATTGTTCGGTTTCCTAGATGAGTGTGAGATACTAAAGCAACGTAGAAGACAGTAAGTTTTCCGATCGGTAATTGAGAGCCAAAGTTTAAAACTGACGGAGGACGAGCCACTCAGCTACGGAGGACTTAAAACAATTAAGTAGCAAATAGTAGCAAAGTCATAGGATGAGAGACTTAACAATACGTTATAAATTCTAGCTTTCGAAATTTCCAGGCTTAGCTTATATCATTTATTTTCTTAATAATGTTAACAGAAAAGCCAGCACTTTTGTATGTTACAATTTAAAAATACCACAGCTACCATTCTCTCTGTTTATTCCTCTTTTTGTAAAATTCCGGAAGATCTCTTATATATTAACCATTTAGTTCCAATAAATAGAGAGTAGAAAGAGCTCACTCTGTGTGGGATGAGGTGACTAGCGCGCTTCGCAAACATAGACTCGCCGACTTCCTCACTGATTGCTTTTCCAGGACTGTTTTATATCGAACTATCGAACACAGAGTTATTTATCGAATACTGTATAAATCTTGGAAGGAAAGTTCTAAAAGAATTCCTACCAAAAGCTTATCAAATAATATATATAAATCATTAATTAGTAATATTTATCCCTATGTGATTCTCTCCACAGAAAAAACTTTTCGATATATTTTTACTTTTCGATCACACAAAAATGTAATTAAGCCTAATCTATCTTTATTATTTATTTTTTCTGAAATGTAATATTTGAGTACTTCTAACTTCCTCGGTAGCAAAACTGCACGATATAATTCCTATTTATGGAGTAAACTTAAACCATCTACAAACTCAACGATGTTCAACAAGCTTAATTTCCAAGCCCGGAACATAACTGTAACACTAACCCCAAAGCCATCTGTGGACGTTAAAACGAGTTAATGCGACTATTAACCGATGCAATTGTGTTGCAAATTGTTAGCATCCGTCCGCCAGCATTGTGTACGAAGATAATCAGACAATTATCGGATGAGTAATTGGGTTTGTTTGTCAATCGGATTCGATTATTGGAGATATTAAATTTTTACATCGATGATTCGAAGAACTGATTATTCAGACTTTATTTAATGCTGGTCGTGTTTGTGCTTTTTTGCCTATTTTTGAATAGGTTGAAAAACTATACTATTTTCCTCCAAATTTTCTATATTTCCTCTCTATAAGCATCTCCCATTTACATTTGCAGCCGTTAATACCCTCTTATCTGCATTGGGCTAGCATGAAGGATTATGACCCATCCTCCTTAACCATACATAAGGAAGATCTGAGCCCCTGCAGTGGGGACGTAAAAAAGACTGAAGTTGATAAAAAAACCAAAAATTATCCAACGCATTAAAGCCAGTCTAGTTTCAGCCTTGTTTTTTAAGCAGCTAATGTTGGCAAGCTAACAGGCTAGTGCCTCTTATTCGTATATTCAGAATTGCTTTCTTTTTGGGCTAATAAACTAAAATAAGAAAACTAGAAACTGCCGTCTCAAATTAACTTGCTGGGTTACTACAACAGCTGAGTATCCTGAGGCTACATAGTTTGCGATCGTTAAGTAACGATCTCAGAGTTTACTAATCAAGCTGTCAAAATTACGAATATCACTAATTAGTCAATAATACTCAGTTCGTGCTTTACAAATAACAATATTACTGTAGAGACTTGCAATAATAAATTACGATCGCTATGAGTTAACGACCGAATTTGGTAAGGCTGCAATTGCAAACTCTGTCGAGACTGCAGCCCCTGACGTCTCCCGGGAATTAGTGATTTATTTTTATTTATGTTATAATGATAATTCCAGAGGGCTTCCTGACGACTTGCTCATTCGATTACTTCACTGATGACCAGGATACTAAAGTATTCGTCGCGTGTATATTCGTGTGGAGCTACTGCATCCCGATGACGCTCATCTGTTACTTCTACTCGCAACTATTTGGTGCTGTACGTATAATAGATATATATTCACTTGTTTATTATGGTTGTTATTAACCGCAAAAACGGTTGACTGTAAATTAATAAGGAGATAATTTAGCAAATTAATAGATATATTTAAGAATACGTATAGAAACACAATATACCAAAGGCATATTCAAATTAAACAATTATTTATATATATAAAAAAAAAACACTTACCCAAAGAGGCTGGCAAAGCTGTCTTCAACGATGGTTATTCTTTCCTATCTATTGTGATCTATTGTTATTTGTAAGATATCAAGCCACGAGAGTAATAGTCGCTCTTTCTACCTGCTAACCTTCAGAAAGAATGATCATAGCTTCCAGAGATTTCTTGGGCTAGTTATTTGTGTATCAATGGTCCACATTCATACAGGAGATGTTTTAGTGTTTCTGTTCCTGTTTAAAATATCGGCAAATATTAATGCCACTTAATTTCATGCGAAAATCGTGCCTGGTTAGTTTGCAGTGTCCCGTTTTTAGCATATTCAATAATGGACATATGACTTCGAACAAATAGGTTTCTGTTGTCAATAAACACGTTATAGTTTCCCTACACAGCGCGCGGTACACAGTGTCGAGAGAGAAGGACGCTCATGCTTCGTTCTCTTATGGCATAAACGAATCCACGAATAAGTAGCAAATTGATACTTAATAAAAGGAAAGGAACATTCTATAGTTATTTAAGATACGAGTGCGGAAAGTAAGGTTTTACGAATAAAGGCCAAATTGATAAGGGCCAATTAAGGTTTTCATTGGCACGAATTCGAAAAACCTTTTACGCTAAAGTTTCTTACAACATTTTTCAATGCTTTTTGCGAGGAAATAAAACAAATATATAGGTTAATAAAACTAAGTATGTATTAAAGGTAAAAATAATTTGTTAAAATTAAACGTGATATTTGAACATGTTTTCGTGTCATATATTTTTATTTGAAAATATTCGTTCTAGGCTCCTGGAAATATTTTTGCCTCTAAAGTTTGACATATTTTCATCAATTTTTTTTAAATGTCTTTGGTGCTCGGCCAAAAAAAATCAAAAAAATACTTTTAAGCACGTGTGCAGTAAAGGATTTCGGTACATTTTTATTTAACACGTGTTTAAAGACTCACTTTCGGTGTTTACAATGGATTAAAAAAAACCGCTTTATGAGCAACTGCATTGAAAAATAATATAAATGCCAAGATAGCAAAAAACCCTAAGTATTCTTTACAAATATCGGCGAAACTTACGAGAATACATTTTATGAATATGGATAGGACGTATAACAATATACTTCCTTGAAAATAACGTAACTTTACCCGCAATCAATCATATTACTGAACAAATAATGTGATTCGTCAATCCCTAAGGCACTCAACTCTACTTTCTATGTTATAAAATAACATATTTCTTTACGTTTTACGGTTTGAACGAAAAATTATTTTCTATACTAATATTATAAAGAGTACAGATTTGATTGTTTGTTTGGCTCCGAAATATATCTGCAATAGACTCCGAAAGTACATCATCGATCTCATAAATTTTGTCGCCTACTGGAAGCATTATATGTGGATGACATTGGCTTTAATATATAAGATATCATCACATACATTGCTCAGACCCCAAATAAAGTAATTAGCACTATAAAAATACCACTATCTAGACAACATAAAAAACTAAATTTTCTACCAACAAACCCGGAATCGAACCTCAGGCCTCAGAGATGGTAACACTTTATTTTTTTTTTTAAATTTTGCTTTAACTTTATACGTTTATATATTTGGAGCAGTGCCGTAACTTAGTTACTTAGTTCTCCAAAAGCTATCCATAATTTTGATGATCTCAGTAGGTAAGTAGCTAGGTAGTTGCTTAGCTTGCCTACAAAGACGGGCCGGCCCTGGAAGTTAATTAGTGACAGACAGGCAGAATTGTTTTCGAAAAGAATTCCTTTTTCCAAGTATATATTTATTTTAGTCCGTCAAATTGTACACAAAACCATTTCTTTCTATACTACCTAATTCTAAAAAGGTCGCCTTGTTAGAAAGGTCCACTCCGAAACAAACTTTGTCATTAACAGGCGTTCTCGAATTTCTATTCGAGATTTTTTTTTCCTAAATCCTACTTTTAGCGCTCCCCCAGATCGTGAGGAAAAAGTCGGAAGTTGTTCGGACGAGCAAAAACACACTAAGGTGTGTTCTAAGTAGTAGCGAGAAATACGATTTTATGGTTTAATGTAGATAATATTACATACTAACTGTGTCGCTCTCAACTACGCACGCGTAAACCACCTACGAACCTACTTTGTCTAGTTGATTTTATTCCGGATGTTTATGTATCCAAGGAACATCATACCAGATCTGGTTTCAGCCAGGACTGCCTTTGATTTACAACATAACATCGACAGAATTTATGAATGAAATGTGAAGACTTTCAAAACCCTTAGGTCTTTAAAACATTACATAAGACTTGGTCAGACGCAAACTTGAATCGAGTGCTTGCGTTTGAAATCCACATCATATAACCTACGCGCAGATGCTCGAAAATGTCCGGAAATCTTTTTTGAGAGCATTTTATACTAAATTCTACGGATGTTATCCGTTTCCTTATCCGTTTCTGCTCGGTCATCTCGGTTATAATTCCCTAGAAGTAAGAGGATTGGATCAGCCTTACCATTTGCCTCAAAACGTTAAAAAGGTCTGTCAATTCCCTATTCTTACACAACCCGCTGTTTGAATTATATATCCCAGACCGACCGGAACTCCCACCCGTCGGAAGGCGCGGCTGCGGTCGACAACATAATTTGTTTCATGTTGATAGTGGCCGTACCGTAGCACGTCCTTAGTTCGGTCTCTGCGTCACCTTAATGCACTTCGTGACGACAACACTGATTTTGTTTTTCGTTTGACAATTGGGAAAACATCAAGCGGCAATTATTGACATACCGTGAGAGTGTAAAGGACCAAAGGAGTCTGGTAATTCTGACAGTGAATATAGCAAGTAATTTATCTAATGTAATTGTTAATTTATTGTAATTTTTTATTTATATGTAATCATTTTTATTATTTGAATAATATGTAATTTTTTATTTATTGTCTCATTTTATTTATATGTGATAAATTTTAATAATTTTTTGGTAGTTAATATTAATTTTCAATTTATTCTCTTTTTTTGTAATATGTGACAAATGTAATTAACGTGTATTTTTATCACAATAATAATAAATAAATAAATCTAAGTCACCTACGATGATGTAGATTTCCGTAGGTGAAAGATTTTTTAAAATTAGTTCAATAGTAAAATTATTTGTCCCTATCGCTGCCACTTGCACTGCACATTCTAAAGACGTCACATCATCTGTCCTCGAGTGGGAGCCAGAAGGCCGCGGGGTGTTGAGACATAAATAATTGTAATCATCGAATTTTCTGTAGATTCGAGCTATTGTACCAACTTTGACTAATATACGATCTTTTTTTAGAATTCTATTATAATGCCTTTATTAATTTACTTGAATATTAAATGTAATAATAATGACTCAAAAAATACTAGCGTACTCGGTCAGTCACTGCGCTAAATCACTAATCCAAGGGCTTTTTCAAATCTAACTGAAATTTTAAACCAATATCCATACGATTGTACACTGCGTACATTCATCACAGGACTCCGATCGCCCAATTTTTCCGCTCTGGGAAATAGTATTATCAAATTCGTTATTTATTTATATATACAATGGACATATCGCTAAAACTTTTAGCGTGTTGATTCAGAAACTGCATTAAAAGTTTCCACGGTATAGGTCTGAATGTACGAATTCCTAATTTCGTTCGGAATCTCCTACATTCCAATTTTATAACATCTGCGAACTGCGTCTATTTCAGAAAAGTGTGTCTCAAAAATTCATAACAACTAAGTCTCAACAGTTAATTTAATTGACAAAGATATTTTTTGAAATTAGATGAACATTGATGAAAATACGCTCACTAGAAAATTATAAGTAGCAGTAGCAGAAAGTAACAATTGCTTAAAAAGTTCATTAGCCCTTTTGGGTTTCTAGTAGCTCAGTGGTTAGGTTAGGTTAGGCTAGGCAGTCGCTCGAATAGCGAAAAGTCACGGGTTCGTGTCCCATCTCGGGGTACCTGGGACTGGTGGATTTTTTAAGCATTTTAAGGGTTCCGTAGTTAACTTAGCCCTTTTAATTTCGCCATGTCCGTCTGTCCGCCCGCAGTTTAGCTTTAAAACTAGTACTAGAAATTTGTAATTTGGCACGAGTACACACGTTAATTACACCTACAAAGTGGTAAAGAAAAACTTTGAAAAAAAAAAATTTGTTACCTCCCCTACATGTAAAGTGGGAATGATATTTTTTTTCGTCTTCCCCATAGTGTGGGGCATCGTAGGATAGGTCTTTATAATTTCTTTATTATTAATAATATTTATTATGACACAATATTATATGGCCTGACTCACTTTATATTAAACAAAAAACAAAACTAATAGTATTTTTATAACATAACTGAGATTTCACGTTTTCTGTATATATTAACCCAATAATTATATATTTCCTACGAGTATTTACCTCATACAAAGATTTCGAACAATTAATCATCATATAATCTTCAACGTCGTTGAGCGTAATCTGAAATATAATTTGAAATGAGCTGTTGTAAACGTTTACAGAAATATTCAGTGAAAGTTAATTTTATCAAATCAAATCATTTATTTGTTAATACACAGTACACACGGGTGATATTTCATTATACTTATTCTGTTTCCGCAATTTTTATAACAATATAGTAAAACAAATCATTTTGGAATAAGGTAATTTTATTTTTAAACTCACACGATTTGTATACATTATAATTATATGCAATCGGGTCTTGTTCGTGCATTTTTTAAAACAATTAATTTACCTCGACGTTTCGGCTACGTTACAGCAGCCGTGGTCACGAGGAGACTGGAGTTAATTAAACTGGAGGTAAATTAATTGTTTTAAAAAATGCACGAACAAGACCCGATTGCATATAATTATAAGGTAATTTTACTCTAATTAGCTTTTACAGCTTAAAAGTATCACGTGATCTCTATTTCTTACACGACTGTCCAAAAAAAGGAGTGCATAACATTTAGGGTGTATGTGTTCTTTATTCCACCATAACTTTTGATGGAATATATCGACTCTGGAAAGCAAACACGTAGTAACCCGCAAAACCAAAATTGTTCTTCAGAGCAGAAAAACTTTTATTTTTTTTCGATAAATAATTCGTATAAAGATCCATGGTAATAAAAAAGATGTTTTTTAGTCAATTTATACTGAAATAAGATTTTTTTTGAAATATATAAAGAATTTCTATTCTAAATATCAATTTTGGTTTTGCAGGTTACTACGTGTTTACTTTCCAGCGTTGATATAGAGTATCATTAGAAACGTTACTCATCCCGAATGATACTGGCTATAAGCTCCCAAGTGCCTCAATACCGTAAAAAGACTGCCTCGGCATGATCTACCACATCTTCTAAGCTGCTGCATTTAATTTTTGTGTTTCTAACAACATTGCCAAAGATGTTGTTATAATAGAAAAAGCCACATCACTCAATAAATGTGAATTCTAAAGTCAGACGCATAGTTCATATTTTAGTTAATTATTTTATCTTACTAAACAGTCGGTTAAGCTGAACTACCTAGAACATTTTTCATAAGTGTGCACATATGTTCCGTAGAAATGTTACAGATTGTCTCGCTGTACAAAATGTAACTTCATGATTAAATACTTAATTCACCGATTATTTAAGGTACGACTTCACGAAAGGATGCTACAAGAGCAAGCTAAGAAGATGAACGTCAAGTCGTTGGCTTCTAATAAGGAGGATGCCAGCCGCAGCGTGGAGATCAGGATCGCGAAGGTGGCATTCACAATATTCTTCCTGTTCGTGTGTGGGTGGACACCGTACGCGTTCGTCGCCATGACTGGGGCGTACGGTGATAGGTTAGTATTATTTTGCTTACATTTTTATCTATAAATTTCAACCGTAGATTTTTAAGGAAAAATTTTGAATGCACTATTCTCGAGAAAAATATCTTTATTCAACTGCACAAATCATTTTCAAATATTTGAATGGGTCTATCGCGTAACTGATCGAATTACATACAAAAATCGATGCCTTTGAATTTTAAGCATTTAAAGTTGGCACTACCTTAGAATTTATTTCGTTTGGCTTATGAACTTCGGACAGTCAGATAAAACTAATGAAAAAGGGCTCCAGAGGTCCTGATTATCTTTAAGTTCACTTTAAGGCAGTATCTCTAACTGTTTCTTTTGCTTTCAAAGTTATACCTAAGTATTTTTTTAATTTGTTCATTGGACATCCTTGTGCCTATGTAAATATTTTAACATTTTTCTTTTTATTGGCATTTATTAGTTTTGAAGAAGAAAAATTAAGGTCAGGTTGTATTACAGTGTTGACTGGCATAAAAACTCGCATCAACCATTGGAAGGGCGAAGCTTAGATTTAAAATATTAAATTTATTTATTTTTGTAACAGAAAATTTCTTCACACATTACAAACGTTACCTAGATATAAGTTAAAAAATCGTTTTGTAAAATTACACGTTTCTATTTTCAATAATAAAATCTTCAATAATAAGTTTAATTCTGATAAATATATCAAATATAATATGTAAGTATGTATATTATACTCTCGTATTGAATGTTATAAGAAGTTATAGCACCAATATCGTTCACAGGAGTATACTGACACCAGTGGCCACCATGATACCAGCTGTATGCTGCAAAATAGTTTCTTGTATAGACCCCTGGGTGTATGCCATCAACCACCCAAGATACAGGTAATTTACTCGATACGCAAAACCTTCTTAGATATCGATTTACTCCTGGAGTGTAATAAAGCATCTATAATTTTTCTGATTGCACCAACCCCAACGTTATGTTCTTAAACTTTACATGATTTTTAGGTATTAATAAGTAATTTGTGATCTGTGATCTGTCTGTCTGTGAACGGGGAGCTTTTTCAAAAAAGACACTAAGTTTAAATATCTGCGAATACCAAAAAGTGCTAACATATACGGGAATCATTCCATTCAAACTGTATAAACTATGTAGATTTTATTTCTTACTATTTGATTCCTCTTCTATTGTTAAAAAAAAATCGTTACTTAAATCCTTGTATACTGTACCCAGGGCTGAACTTCAGAAGCGCGTTCCTTGGCTTGGAGTACGTGAAGCAGACCCTGATAGTGCATCTACCGCAACGAGTGTCGTTACTGCCCAAACAAATCCACCAGCTGAAGCTTAAGCGTTTATTGAATTGACTAAAGAAAATACGAAAAATTTACGCAATCGGAACAAACTTGAGAACTGGAACGAGATTTTGTCGGAATAAATCCCCCAGCTTATCTTTTGGAAATAATCGTTATTTTGTTAACTATTTAAATTTAGATTTAAGGATTTGGCCTTATTAATTTAACGAAACAATTTTTTTAACAGAATTTGTTTTGAAAACAAAATTTGTACTTGGCATTATAAAATGAAATTGTCCTAAAGTAACAGTCCTCGAGTATTAAATTATCAGCTATATTATTAATTAATTTGATGATATATTTTAGTTGTATCATTTTCCGTATTTATTTAAATCAACAATGAATTGTGTCCAATGGAAGACAAATATTTTTTATTTTTAAATCCATTGGTATCTTCAATTCTTCATATATTATATGAATGAAAGTTTTAAAATCCCATACATTGTAAATGTAATAATTGCTTGTATACGAATTACAACACTGACACGTGTTTTAATATGATAAGTTAACAAATGACAGATTATTCCAAATATATCAAATTGTTCCGAATGTATCAAAGAAATCAATTTGTTCCACTGACTTTTACTGATGATAATGTGCGCGTGTTCAATGGTATTATGATGATAGTGTATATTTTTTTTATAACAAGCATATATATAATTTGAAAAAATACAAAAAAATATATTCGATGGATCTCGACGACTCAGGCAACGTATATTTATTGAAAAGGCAAATAAAAGTTTCACTTTTACAAATGTATTTTTTATCTTATCCTTTTCTACCCTTTACTATTTAATCTTAGGTATACCTACAGCCCTTCCACCTAACTCTCTACCTACTACACTAGACGTAGCCATGTTTTTTTTAAATATGTTTTATTAATAATAAATAAACAAACATTAGACAACATCTAATGAATGAATGAAAATGTTTTTATGAATGAATGAATGAAAATGTTTTTATTCAAGTAAGCTTGTTACAAGCACTTTTGAATCGTCCAAAAATATTGTTGCCCCTACCACTTGTTCAGGACGTCTTTTAGCTGACAAGAAGAACAAGCGAAAGAAACTTACCAGCTTTTATAATAAGTAATGACATTTACATAAATCATATCATTACCAAAATAATACATATATTGAACAATAATAAATACAAGTTTCAAAGTCTGTAGGACATAGGTTGCTACATATTATCTATTAAAGGCTATTAATTCCATGCATTGTAGTCCTTAAAATAATCATCAACTTTATAATAGCATTTACTCATAAGTATATTCTTTACATGAATTTGAAATTTATTACATACCTTTTAAAATTTATCACATAATTTTTTTTACCCATTAAATCTTTCATTTACCCATTAAAGTCCTAGATGTACCTACTTAAAAAGGTACTTAATTTTTAAGCCATCGCTGTCTATTTCATTTGATGTATTACGGGAATCCTTAATTACTCCTTCCGATTCAGACTGAATTAACGTCGGGGACGTAATAATTAATGTTTTTTTTTTCTCTTTCTCAAATTGTATAGACGATCAATCAATGAGTCGAGCTTCAGGACTGGAACCAGTCAAGTAACTTGATAACGTAACATTTAATTAATTGTTATCAAGTTACTTACCTATACCCGTGCCTACGTAGATATTTTAAAAGGAAAGGGTTTATTTGATTTTTTTATTTTATTTGTGATTGTTCTCTATAACATTTAAAAAAGAAAAGATAAATAATGAGGAGCTCCATAGTGCAATGGTTAACGCGTTTGGCCTGCGATGCCAAGGCCCGGCTTAAGATAGGATAGTGCTAAAGAAGCCCCGGGGACATCTGCAGTCGTTAACACACATGGATCCGCACTGGGCCGAGTGGTGGGTCATGGCCCATTTTCCCTATTCTATTCTATCCATAGGGTAGGCCCGTGGCCCAGACTTGTAATGATGATGATGAGAAAACCAAATATTTATTTGTCAATGAGAAGGTAATAGGTATGTGTAAAATTATCTACATACGTGTAGGTAACGGTAATTAAAAGTTACATTTTTCAGTTTACTTTTTACTTCATTGACCCCGCCGACATTCGAAGTCAGGACTTTGGAGGTGACACAGACCAACCATTCCCAACCAATAAAAAATATATCGGTATTCGCAGAGTTATTAAGAAAAATGCGTGACCATACTCCATTTTCTTTTTTTATAAAAAGCTTTAATTTCAAGAAATCGAGGACAACATTTTTGCAATAAGTACTTACAAATTAAATGGTCTATTATTACTAAAACAGATTATTACTCCGCTCTCCGTCCGCCTGTCACCAGGCTGTATCTCATCAATCGTGAGTGAGACAGTTGAAATGTTCACAGATGATGTATTACTACAGCCGCTATAACAAAACTAAAAACTGAATAAAATAAATATTTAAGGGTGGCCGCCATACAACCTGATTTTTTCATGGATATTTGTACGGAACCCTTCGTGCGCGAATACGACACGCACTTGGCCGGTTTTTATTAATTTAGGGGATCCATTTATATGGTCCTTGTTTTCTTAACGGTTCGTGGACCATAAAAGATGATAAAATGCACAAATAAATGTACTCGTACCTAAGCCCCGCCACAACCTCAACCTAAGCTACATACAACTGTCTCGTTCATAACTCGAAACTGAGCTCTGAACTCATAAAGCAAGCTAGATTAGATACTGTGCACACAGCACAGTGGTTTATACATAACCCCAGGCTGTTTGTTATACAATTGACAACATATCGGGAACTACAGAAGGACAAACTGCAATGGATTAGAAACCTTAATATGTTAATGATTAAGTTTTAAATTTATTCTAATTTATGCTTTTGTGTTACCTGAGGATTCTCTGTATGTACTGTACATACTTACATACAAACCACATTGCTCAATGAAACATGGCGCCCTAGGCAAAATACCTACTAGAAAGACACCTATAAAAAAAATACAACAAATTAAGACTATCATAATATACGTACATAGGTTGTTAAGTTAGGAGTAGCTCAGTGGCGTAATGAATAAGCGCCGCGGCCCGCAAACGTTGTTGTTAAGCAACTTTCATAAGGGTCAGTCACGGGATGGGTGACCAAAAAATTATTATCTCGAGCTACTCCGTGCTTCAGAAGGCACGTTATGTCGTTGTTCCCGGCTGCATTTTCAATCGTTAATACACTCGAATCCACATTGGGCCAGCGTGGAGGATTATGGCATGGCCCATCCTCCTTAAGCAAAAGGAAGGCCTAAGCCCCTATAGTGAGGAGGGCTAATTAATATGAATGTACTTAGGTACTACAACCTATATAGTGTAACTTTACAAATGACAAAATGAACTCCTTAAGCGCTATTAGTGAGAGAATTTTGTACTTTTGTATACTTAGGTACTGCGGATATGGATTCATGTCCAACACACCAAAAAATAACTGTTTAAAGATACTACATCAGTTCAAATAGTAAGAACTAAATTATTATACTATGCCGCCACCACACGAGCGTTCTAGCATAGGCAGTTGCCTAGTTTGCCTATATCACAGATACACATAAACTCTTATAGACAGACAGGCATGTCCTGTTAACATGCATGCATAAAGGTAAAGAGAAAACGAGAAAGTAGTCTTGGAGAGACAAAGACATTTAAAACCGACTTTAAAGAAAAGGAAATTCTTAATTCTACATCACTACATGACTGCCATATACTGCCATAGGCGTTTTCTCGCAAATTAAACCACGGAATGCAATTAATCTTAGCTTAATCTTTATATTCAAGATCAGCACTATATTTTTGACTATTATTTGAAGTGCATCAAAAGCTAACTGAAAATATTCAAACGTTTTTTTATGTTTGAAGCCACAGACCTTGAATGAACCTCTATCCTGTGTGAAAATACTGTGGGTCAGAGCTGATTTTGTTACAGAAGAGAATAGCTGATCAGATTAAATGGAACTTTTATATGTTATACTCTATTCATTATAACATTAGAAAAAAGAGGGTCACAGAAGCAGCAATGCAGAACATTTTATTTTCAAAATAAATTTAAAAATATATATAATAGTTTGGTTGAAACTTTGAACGTTAGGTAGTCTGAAAGAGTTGGGCAATTTTCCATTTTCTTTTGCGAAGAGGCTAGAATTTTGTAAATTCATCTTTTACTCCCAAGCCAGTGTGGAACTATAACTATCTACCTGTTGTTTTGATAAATTCTAATTGTAAGTGTATAATTAGAATAGAATATAGTTATATTTATACCCAGGAAAGAAAGGTAAACAAAATGAAATTTTTAGTATTACTTGTGTAAAACATTCATTCAGATATTATTGATTACGATATTGAAAAACTTCCTAAAATGTCAGAGGTAATTGTTGTAGGCCATTCGGACCTGCACCGGAATCGTCCATATTTAGCAAAACTTAACTTCAAAAAGATAACAACTAAAACAAAACTATAAGAAAATAACAATAATGCAAAATCAACTCAATCACGGAATACGGTAAAACAACGAGCCTTACAAGTTTGTTTCGTGTTTGAAGTAACATTCACAATTAATGAGAATCCCAGATTACGTATTTTGACTATTATAAATACATCATAATCTGACAAAATTAAAAAGCTGTACTACCGAAACGTTTCACGGGATTAGGCAACGTTTTAAATTTGGTAGAGTTATAGTGAAATAAGAATCGTGCCGAGAGTATCCAACCCTGCTTCTCTAGGTTCTTTAAGATGAAAACACTTTTTATTGTAAAAGTTATTAAATCTTTTAAGTTAGTCAAATACTCAAAATTTTGTTTAACAGATAGCATAAATGACAACTGTTAAGTATAGCGGCTGGTACTTAAGTGGATATGTAGCAAATAAGCCGTCAATCTTAAGAGTAACATGATTTTAAATATTATTTCACAAAGTATACCATAAAAAGAACCTTATTTAACTTCTGTCTAATGCTATAATGAATGGAGTATAGGTGGTTGGAGTAGCGTTTTAAAAGTTAATTTTATTGAAATTTAAAAGAGTTAAACCTTTCTAATAATAAAAAATAAAGATGTTTGTCTGGAAGAAATCGTTTTAACAATAAAGCTAGCAATCATTACATAATCTATTATTATGGCTTATTTGTATATGTTGTTGACAATCAATAATTTTCTATTCAGTTTAAAGAAATAGAACTACAAAGGCATATGCAGATTTGATAGAAAAAAAAATACAAAGTTATACCTTAGACAACAGCCAACTTTTAAATTAATCTAAGCAAAAACTTCACTTAAAAATATCAATCAAAGGAAACAACTCATTTACGGAAAACACCAACCTAACTAGCGCCATCTTCTTATAGCTATTCACATCATTTGCCATCATTTCTTTTTCTTCAGTTATACAATGAAACTAATAAAATTGCAAAAATGTTTTATTCAAATCCATAATCAGGCAGCACTGCATCACTTAAAAACTATATACAATATTTCAAATGCTAAGTACAGAATAACATATGGAATGTAAATAAACTTTCAAACATTATTGTATTTTACCGACAACAGACGTTAAATGTAACCATTAACGAAAGACTCTGACGATTGTACACATTCTCTGATGAAGGCAAGTCAAGTTAAAAGCAATTCATCCAGTTACTGATCAATAAAGTTTCTAGCTGATCCTAATACAGTAATCATTAAAACATTATACATTACTCTTTAAGATTTAAATAAAAATAGTAATCACGCTAACTTATTTACAATACCTAGTGAACTTCCTAAATCTTTGAATAAAAACTGTTTCCCAACTTCATGTCAACTATAATTTATTGCTTTGTTATATTCGTTTTAAAATAATTTATATCACATTGTATTTTTAAGAAATTGATCACCCACGAATTTTATAAATAGCCCATTTACAAAGCATTTTTGCACTATTACTGTTGACTTATGAAAAAAATATATTTTATGTTAATATCAATAACTAAAGGCATATCTAGTTTACACTTCCTTTCAACAAATAGTATGTTGATCAATATATAAGTTAACATAATGGAGGGAAACTAATATAGAGAATTTTCAAACTGTTTATTAGACAAACATAATGTTTCATTACATTTATAGAGTACTTATACCTATTTCAGGACCTAAATAATAGTCAATAAATTATTTGCTTGATCTACAGACTAACAACTCACAATCTGCAATATCCATAGCAAGAAACAATTTATACATTTTTTTTTATGTTGGTAGTCTAATTATTGTTGGTAGTTTATTATTTTATTTAAAGTTTATCTCAAGGCCACTCAAACTTGGTTATTGCAATGTTATAAGTAATATCTATACCATGTTCCCATAGTCACGTACAGGTCATGTGGCAGTGTATTGTAATGAAACATTATATATAAGTCATAGTCACATTAGAAACTAAGACCGATGCTTGTTGCGATTTATGCTCTGCATGAGACGACGGCCCCACCACTGTTCCAAGTTAAAAGGCCTGAAGTTGGCTAGTTGACGGGGAGCCATCACTTCCTGATAATACTTTGCGTCTTCGCTGCCGCGTTCTAATTCCCTTGTCACCTGAAATCAATAAAGCCAATATTAAATGTTTCATTTTTATACTTTATTGGTGAAGGACTCGATATGAAAGTGTTATAATGTGATGTTTCAATACTGATCACTTTTCTGGTGAAAATCACCAGATAACTGTTAATTTTCATCTAAATAGGCTTTTCAATCATGCATCACAAATTAATGATAATTAAACCTTGATCACTGGAAGGAAGATCTATTATTATATAAGTTATCAGTGTCATTTGCACACATGGCAATAATTATTTTATTTTTGAATACGCAAAATTTGAAATATTTTGTCAGCTTTCAGTTGAAATGTTTGAGAACAAAACATATCTATTTTACAGCCAAATTGGTTTCCAATTAGTCAGTGGTATTTCCTCCAATGTCATAATTTTCTTTTATGATGAATTTGTTTAAAAATGGATTTGCTAAACTAGCAATCCCGCAGGATCCTGCCTTCATAATCCCAAAATAAGAGGGATTGAGAAATGTGTGGAATGTCAGTATAGAAAATAGAATCTACTTTTCAAAGTAAATTAGATTTAATTACAATTATTTTTTATGTTTATATAATACACTATCCTCAGGAAATGACTCTCCCTGCTGAAGCATAATCCTTCCTTATGAATGGGATCAAAAAAAGGGAGAATGAACCATACCATATCCCACAACGCGGGGTCAGTACAAATCAATGGATGATAACTACTGCAGATGAAGCCAGAACAACAGCTTAACATGCTTTATTATGCAAGGAGCTCGACATAATAAATATTTGGTCACTCATCCCATGACCAACCCTTATGAAAGTTACTTAAATTCCATATTGCAGACGGAACATATTAACATTGTTTGAACAACATAGCAGATCGCTATATCATATTTTGTTCCAATATCATCAAAAGTTGTCTAAACCAGTGTTTCCTTATTTGTGGTCAGTGTACCCTTGTTGTCTTAAGGCACCAGAAACACTGTTCTTGACAAATATTAATACTTAAGTAACAGTAAGACTTAAATATGTATATTTCTATTTTCAACAACCACAAAATTTGCGAAAATCACCTTATTCCAAGATTCATAGATATAATTTATGAGATCGTCATGTTGATTGGTGTTATTATTGTTATTGTGAGCATTAACTTGAGGGGGTTGCATTGGTGGACTAAGGCGGGCTCCGTTGTGTCCATTGCCACTGTAACTGTTGCCGTTGTGTCCGTTTCCATGATTGTTGCCATTGTGTCCATTGTTATTGTGTCCATTGCCATGGCCATTACCATGGCCATTTCCATTGTGACGTTTATTTCCACTCATATGTGGTAATGAACGAGGCCCACTGTTTACATAGCTTGATCTATAAAATAAATTTACAATTATTCAGCAAAATGCTAATGTCAAAACTAAAAACTGAAATTTCGCTCAAAACACCATCATTGTTAAAATAACGAAAGCAAGCAAGTTTAGCACCAATGTTGTATAGATTATTTTTGGATACTTAATCTATTATCTTTATTAAATAGTTGTGTAAATAACGGGAATAGATTTAGAAGTGAACAAAGCTCTCTAATCACGTAAATTTAGCTAGCGTGATCATTTACGAGATGGGTTGCTTATGGGTTGCCAATATGTTGTCAAAATTTACACTACAATTGCAGTTTAATGTTTCATTTTAATTTAGCTCGTAAATTATATTAAAAGGATATGGAAATTATAAATTATGAAAACAAAGCGCGAAAGCACTTTGCTCAGAGAAAGGAAGCATACCTCATATTGTTTCGGTCCATCTTCAAAATAACACGTCTACACTCTTTTATATCAATAACCCTACGAATTAATCTTACTTCCGATGATATAATGCTAAACTAATGCTCTAATACATTTCGAAATAAAGGATAATGTAAAAAAAAACTGTAAATAACAATAAAATACTAAAGATAAATAGACGGGACGCCACACAACACGACAAAATTGTCAATAGCAATCAGCTGCACTTCCGCAAACTGATACGCATATTTGATTGGCGTTTACAAAACCGGACGTCTCTTTTCAGCCAATGAAGGAACGGCGATTATCACTGCGTCAAATGTTTAGACTCGTCTAAAAAAGACAAAGGAATGATAACTTTGTTACAGTTACTTATTATATTTGATCAATTTTGCATTCACAAAAGAAAAATTCTTAAAAAATCCCTGACACTCTGAGATGGGACTCGAACCCATAACCTTTCGCAATCCAGGCGACTGCTCTAACCACTAAAGAACATTGACGTATATGGAGTATATTTTAAATCGCAAATAAAAACAGTGGATTGATCCTTGTCACCAATAAATTATTATTTTTCACTTAGAATGTTTCCCGCGCTTTTCCTAGATAATTTACCTACCAATCACAGACTTAGTAGGTATCAGACGACCAACTTCCTAACAAAAAATTTCTTCGTAGAACGTGATTGGGAGCCAGTGATACATGACAGATTCATTCGTTTTAAATATTAAGATCTACTATCGGCAAAGGCATTTGGCTATACAGCCCTTTTTTGGGTAGGTACCTAGCCGTCTTCCTATTTTCCATATTACTTTTACTTTAATTTTAATACAACAATAATAATAAAGCAGACTGATAAGTGTAGTTTATTATTATTGTTGTATTAAAACAAAAAAGGCAAAACGAACACGTAAATGAAACACACATTTTTCCAATATTATTTATTGATTCATTTATTTTTAACTTATTATATTTTTAACTTATTATACGTTTTTTTGTGGCACAACCTTACGAAACTTTTCAAGATAATCACAATTTTTTTTTAAAGAGGGCACTGATTTTTGCATACCTTTTTATACACATATCTAAGTTTTTCTGAAATTTCAATTGCCTTTGGCCAGAAAGAATGATGGTGTGTCTTATCTGTCACAGCTCTTTCCTTTAAGGTTTTTTTGTTTATCGATGCTCCATTGACACTATCAAATAATTGGTCAAAGAATGAAACAACTTCAGCTGTATTTCTTAATGTTGTTCTGACGGGTCTGCCATCCACATTAGTTGCTGCAAATTAAAATATTCATATAATAATTGTATGAAACTTGATTTAAAACTATTAACTGTTAATAAATTTCATCTAATACTCACAGAAATTTGCAGTGCAAGACAAAGCTGCAGACATAATGGCTCAATATTTTTACACAATTTTTTACCTACAAAAAGAGATATCATATTTAAAATTATCTTCATTAGAGAATCATTATTGTAATTTTTTTTTTTTTTTTTTTATTTATTTAAGGAACAAACAGTTATACATATGTTACATGATCACAAGATATTAACAAAAAAAAAAAACCTACAGTTCCCTACATTAAATATAGTTACATTTAGGCTTAAAGTTTATGAGAGATAGTAATAGGCACAACTCACAATGCACCCAGCAACAGTATCTACGCAATTACGTAACAATTCGAGACTCAATGGCGCCGGCGGCATAGTGGAGCGGACACCGACAGTGCATGGCTGCAGCCAGCCAGAGATGGACGTAATACTGTGCATTTGTTAGTCGCGCCCATCACAACATATTGTGTGAAATAAGGACATGCAAAAATTAACAAGAAATCAAACAATAGGCATCCAAATCAATCACTACATGCGGGCTATTTTATAACAATTGATAATACATTTTCAATTGTTTTGTGAGTCCCAATCATGCTATTTAACATTATGTCTCGATTGTACAGTGAAATTAATTGCATACATGAATTAAAGTAACTTTAGATGGCCACAACAATAAGGTATTTATTAATTTATTTTAAAATAATATTGGAAATTCTTATGAGATTAATATTAATTAATAGTTATGTCAAGTGAATAATAATTTTAAATCAAAACAAAATATATATTTTTTTGTTTTAAATGAAATGTAACAATTATTTCGGCTAGTTGATATTATTAATATTGTCTAGGTACAATTATGTATGTTCGTGACCTCTTATTCATTGTTAATTTCTAGTGTAGCGGCTATGTGATACCAGGACACTTTATACAGGAAAAACAAGCAAGCATACAGGAAATACAATTTAAGTGTATACCATATTAACTACTGGTAACATAATTAAAAATACAGGTCATTGAATCAACACTTGCTCTATATAGGATATAGAAGCTGAATATAAATTATTTCTTTTATTTGCATTACCTTCATCTTTTTAATTTTATCAGGTATAACTCATAGGTCATTTAATTTATGACGTAGCCCAGCTTCAGTGTGTTGACAGTCTCTCTCATAGACATAAATAATATCATGCCATTTTGCAAGTTTACCATCTAATATTAAATTTTTTGTTGAAAAATTGTTTCTGATACATTTTATCAAGTGTGTAGAATCATAATGTTTAAATTCACCCCACATATTTTAAGAATGGCAACTGAAACAAAAATTTAAGAACTTCTTAAAACATAGATAACAATATAATAATAAGAACCTTCACTGCTTTCATTAAATCTATTAGTTTTCTTTAATATAAATATAATTATCTAAATATCTCTGTACCAACCTGTGATTTCATTTTAAAATTTGATCACACATAGTGTCTTCTTTTAGATTTTTGAGTTCTGATTGGAAAGCTGAGCCTTGGTCATATATTATTGCGATGAGATTAAGGTCCAATTCAACAACTTTTTCTACTACTGACTTTAAAATATTCTTGATGTTTACAGTAGATGTAGCTCCTTGACAGAAATAGTAACATAAAGGCTGTTGCCACTTGTAAACAGCACCAACATAAATACAAGAGTATGATCTGCAAAATCCACTTTCTTTTCTTGGTGTTCTACAAATCCATTAATGTTATCTTTAATCCTTATTACTTTTATTATACGAAGTGCTGTTTCTAATGACATCTCATCAAATATAATGGAGCATATTTTTTTGGAGTTTCATTTGTCCACCTGAAAAAGTAAATTCAAATAGGTAGGTACATATTATTATTTGGTAGTAATACAAAAAGTTATAAAAGTAGTATGAAAAACCTTATATGGAATATATACACCTCTTATATGAAGCCTGGTTCTATGATCAATTTTCCAATCATAGTATTCAGTGTGGTTTTGGATGATAAAATAAAAATTTTGCTTAAAAATCAATAACATTTTGGACTCTGCTTTGATATTGATAAAGCAATTATCTTTTCTTCGATAGTGAATCACCTCTCATGTTTATTTTTAGAGTACATGCGCACTTGCATTTCAAAAACATTTTTTGCAACTGTGTTCATTTTTTGTGTGAACTTTTCAAATGATAACTTTTTACAAAACTTAAAGGTATTTAAGTATTCTTTACTTTTTTATGAAAGTTCAACTACGTCTTTGGCTTGTTATATTCTTCATAAATTCTCTGGTATAAAGGTGACAATTGGCTTTATTTGGTAATAAGCTTTTTCCTTTTTGTTTGGGTACATTTCACAGGGTCTGTAACATCAAAAGTATTCAGTGAATTTCTCTATTAGAACTACTATTTGATTGAAATAAAGATACACTAAAGAAAGAGACAGGTCTTACCAGATAATTTAGTTTGTGTCATATTTTAATCTCCAGAACAAGCAACTAATTGAGTAAACTCAGTGGCTGCAGACACAGGAGTCTCAATTTGTTCTTTGAAAATTACACCACCTATGAAATCAATATTGATTATGTGTGTAAGATTAAAAAACAGGATATAATCTTAGATGATATTAGAAATATGTTATTTATATTATAAATTTTTTCTCTGATCAAAATCACTTCTAGCATGCCCGCTAGAGTTAAATAACTTGATGTAATTTTTCTTTATGTGTGTAAGAAAGACAGATCTACTAGACTTTATTAAAGCAAAAATCTATGTTAAAATACACCAAAACTGCAGCATGAACTTTGTTATCTAAATAAAATAAATTAAAAACAAACCTCTATTCAGTTCCACTTTCTAATATGTGTGGTCAACATGACTTGTTCTTGCATAGCTGTGTTCCCAAGTGAATATAATTTCTGTAATAACAAAAAAATCTAATGAAGAATAGCAGTATTCCAAAACACAATATAAAGTGAAGATACATATCATTTTAATTACATTATCTAAAGGTAATAGCAGATTAAACCAGCCTTACCAGTATTGCTTGAAGAGGGTAGGCCGATTGAGAGCCCATCATCATTAAACAATGACGGATATACGTCACCCAAGAGTCGTGATTTTGGAGTAATGAATCTTGGTACAACGTGTTTGCTACAAATAACCCTTCTGCCTGGATTCAAATTTTCAGTATCACACACAGCACTAAGACATTGTAACCACTTGGAGAATCTTTTCTCGTTCACTAGAATCTTACAAAGAATAGCGTCCTGTTCGTTCTTTAACAATGCGTGTAGCACAACCATAACACAACAAACCAATTTCCTAGGCATCTTCTACAAAGAAAAATACTTCGAAAAAAGGAGAGTTTATATTACAAATAAAGCGAAGAGGGTAAGCACAAACGAAACTACTCAATCACTTGTAATTCCCTGATATGTAGGTACATACTTTAGTCTTCTTCTTCTTTTATTAATGGCATATCTGCGCATTTCACGCAATTTTGCCAATGTGAAGTGAATAAATTAATTCCAACATGTAAAATGAAAATGAAATGAATTAAAGATTAATTAAAACATTAGTATCTTTACTCTTTGTTGTAATGACAGTTTCTGTCAAGTGTCATGTCTCCATCTACTGACAGGGGTGAGGGTGTGTGGAAATGTCATACATCACTGGACCCCTACGCGATTGGTTTCTTGTACGGAGTTGACGGGCCGTGCCTACCAATTTACTCACAAATGACGTGACGTGCTCTGATTGTTGTTTGATTTGACGTGAGATACTACATTAGATACTATTTTTGTTTAGTGATTTAAAAATATTGTTATTTAGCAAAATTATTTGGCGAATAATCTTTAAATTTTATGTACTTTTTAACCACATGCGATTAAATTTTTTATCTAATCGGTATTTTCAAATTATATGAATCGATATGGATAATATAATTTTTTTTTATTATTAC